ATTATTAAAATTTATTGTCTTGTAAATATGAGTGTTTTGCCATTTACACTATTTATAAAGTAATTTTCATTGTAATTTTTTGTTTTGTTACTTTAAAAGTTTTCTACACATAAATTACACTTGAAAAAATAGAACCTAATTAAGAAAAGTTATTTTATAGAAAGTACTAGTATTAAAATAAATTTCATAGAAAATGTTATATTGACAAATCATTTTGAAAACAAACTATAAATAGACATGTTAACCAACAAATTTTGAATGATTTGACTCTAAGCTTGATTTGAAAATTCTATTTTGAATATGATCTGATTATTCATTATGTTTTGTCTTTACAATTCATATTCATATTCATATCCATTAAATTTAAAAAATTCGATCGAAAAATAAATCTTATATGTACACGTGTGTGCACATATTTTTGTGAATCGTTTATGATTCACAATTAGGTCAAATTTTGGAATATCCAAATCTAAATTCTTGAAATCAAATTTAGAGGAGGATGCGTTTAGTAACTTAATATGTCATTGTAGAAAGAAGAGCAATAGCTAGAGGGTAAAGAAACTAAGAAAGAATTGTGAGATTAAATCTTATGAACTTTAAAAAAAAAAAATCAATAGGGGCAAGTATTGAAATTTTTTAATCTTATTGTAATTTTAAACTAATCCCAAAAATTTTCAAAATCTCAATGTGGACGATTGCCCCCATTGCACCACCCTCCCTTCGCCCCTGATTACATTATCAGTATTTTTGTTGTGTTATGATTTTTTAAGATTAACCTTGATTTGTACTTAAAAGGGCTTTAAATTATTTTTCTAGCTCGGCTTCTTGTAGCACTTATCACTGTTTTTTGGGTTGAAGCTTATTAACTTTTAGAATACATTCATTTTTGGGGTTTACTTATCATTTTTTTTGGTTCACTTATCACTTTTAGATAAAACTTACTGTCTTTTGAATTTTTTTTACACTATGTTTGGTTGGGTGGAAAATAGGGTGAAAGAAAAATGTGAGAGGAAAATGGAATGGAAAAGAAAAAGTTTCATCATTTAGTTTGGAGAGAAAAAAGGACGCAAAGTAAAGTTGAGAGGGGATTCTTTCAATAAGAAGTGTAACTTGTGTGTGGTTGATTATTTGCTACGTGGTGAGATCTATGCCATTTGTGTTCATATGAGGTTGGAGGAATTTTTGTCACCATGGGAGGATTGGGTTGGGTCGGATTGGATTTGAATTTGAACTCAATCTAATCCAACGTAAAGTGGTTCTGTTTGGAGGATTCATAATGTAATTTATCAAATTTTATCCCATCTTTAGATAGAAACCATTTGTTTGTGGGCTCCATTTACATGTGAAGATAAAAGATACTAAAATGACCATTGCACCCTTGTGTAAATAAATGTAATTCAATCTTATACCAAATTTGAAATGGAATGAAAAAAGTAATTTAGGGAAAAAATATGATTCAATAAATTATTCATTTTTACAACATATTGCAAAAAATATGTTTGTATTTATTTAATTTAATTTGTACAATACACAATTATTCACAAAAATCAAATGCATCATACAAAAAAATAAAAAATTAGAACACAAACACATAATTGTAATTTGAAAATTATGCTTCTACATAAAAAAAAAAGGACAATGATAGACAAAACGTCCCTATTTTACAGTTGTTCATACACAACGTACAAATTGTCTATTTGGAAACCTTCCACAACAAAATAAGGCATACACTTTGCCTTTTTGGAGACCCGCCACTACAAAATAAAGCAATATGGTTTAATGTTATTTAATGTTATAGAAATACATATACATGCCTTCACAAGACGATCAAACAACATACACTTAACACAAAGTAACCTTTAAACATCTCATAGTTCCACAAGCGTAGTTATATATATATATATATATATATCAAAATAACTTGTGGATCGTAACATTAAGTTCCATATCAATGTAGTGGTTACTGGAAGAAATTAATCGTCAATGATTATAACATCGACGGTTGGGGCAGAATTTACCGATGGAGATGATCTTACACTATCAGAAGGTTGTGCACTTGATGTTGAAACATTATTTTTGAAAATGACTTTAAAATATTGATAGTTAAGACTTGGGTCTAGACAGTAATCAACAACAAATTGTACTTCCTATATTATGTAATCAACAACGAGTTATTACTTAAAAGGAACAAAAAAAAGTATGTACTTTTTACATAAATTAATGAAGTAGACTTACTTCCAAATATTCATTCGATCCCTCCACATCTCCTTTTATGACATATTTAGCGCAATTGTCCTTGGAAAATTTGCCCGTCTCCAACATCTCAAAAATTGTGAAATATTGTCGCTACCAAAAAAAATTATGCGTAAAATCTCGCTCAATGAGAGGCTAAAGCTTAACAGATGCCTATGTAGGACATCTAACATGCGCTTCAACATTTTCTTGTCATATCTACTATATGGAGGTAAAAGGTTTCAATGTTTGTACTCAATTAAAATATCAATCACGACTTCAGTTTCATCAGCACTTACATTTGGTAACTTTATATCCCAAAATTGAAATATTTTACTTTAATTTAAATCTAAATTTTTTGTAGGGTCTATTTTTAATGGATTCAAATTTCTTGTTTGAACTATTATTGTAAAACCTAAAAATTCAAGTTGTCAAAATACTAACAGATATTAAATTCTTAACATCTCGATTTGAAGAACATTTTAGTTGTCTAGTTAGTCGATACATGAGAAAGATGCGCTCAAGCATATGAATAAAGCCGGTGTATACTTTTTTGCTACAAATAGTCTTCCCCTATAATTAGTGGAAGTTTGATTTCCGCTTGTTTTATTGATTAATTTCATCGAAGTTGAATGTCTTCCAAGACCTGCCCAGGGGCAAGACAAGGTGTGACCCACTCAGTGTTTATAATATTTATGTATGTTTTGTAGAATTTAAGGTAAGAGATGGATGATTAGAAAATTTTCTCAACTTAAATATTTAAGAAGTAATGAGGTCATAACACATGATCATTTGGTAGTGATTCTTATTTAAGAAATAATTTCTCTCTATCTCTCCAAACATAATCCGGGCTAGCGTGGAGAGAGAGGGAGGCTTCGACTTCAGAGAGAGAACAAATTGGGTCCACAGTGGAGCTAATCTTCATCTTAGACTTGCAGATCTATACTTCCATGGATATAGATAGTAGATTTGCTTAACAAAGTGGTATTTGGAGAGTTCCAAACACCATAGTATCATGAGATGAAGAAACACTGTACCAACAAAATTATCCTATTCGGGTTAGCGTGGAGAGAGAGAGAACAAATTATTGGATCCACAGTGAAGCTAAGCTATAACAAAAATTTACCCAGATCTGCTATTTCCATGGAAAAATCAGAGCCGATGTGAAGCAGTAAGATCTAGCAAATGAAGAAAGGAGAAAAAGAGACAGAGAGATCGAACAAATGAAATAAACAGGGAGATAAAGTCAGTCGAGCAAGTTGCTCTAAGACGACAATTTGTAAGTTCAAGTCTCATATACTTGTGTTTACAAGTGTTCTCCACTTCACAGACCAAAGAAAACAACATATATATATATATATAGAGAGAGAGAGGCAACCTGGTTGGTGCATAGAGCCCCGTTCAAGGAGAAGGGTGGACCAGTAGGGAAGGGAAAGTGAAAAGGAATGGAGATAAAAGCCCTAAAATATTTACTCTGGAGAGTATTTTAGATATTTCACATGTAATCCTACTTCTCATTCCTCAATCTCACACAACATATGAGTTTTGTCAATCACTTGTAAAGGGGATTTTTCCCTTCAAAACATACGGGCCGATGAATTTAAAAACAACGAAAATCCCATGCCAAAAAGTTACCCAAACTAAGAATATGTGGGATTCATTCACAATTTTAATCTAATCCCCCCGAATCCTTTGATCCAAACACCACCTTGATTGTCTAGTTGAGTGCACTAGGGATAGATGAGGTATTGATTGGTATGCAAAAGCAAATAAATTGTAAGGGCAATGTAGTAAATTAAATTTATATACTTTTTTTCTTCCTTTTCTTTTTCATGCCAAAGAATGAAAAATTTAACTTTCGGACTTTTCACCCATTCTATCAAACAAAATAGAGTAAAAACCTATTTATTTCCTTTAAGGATAAAAAATTCATTCCTCTCAATTTTCTTTCTTTCCATTTTTTTTATCCCTTGTACCAAATGGGCCATTACTTTTCGGGCCCAGTATTAAAATTTCATTTTTCTGTAATGTAATATTTTAAGCTCATAGTATATTTCTTTTATTTATTTCTTCCAATTTTTTTTTCTTTTTATTTTATCTAGTGCTCTACCTCCAAGTCTTCTTTTCGTTTTGAATTATACTTTCCCGCTCAAAATTATGCCATTTTTTTTTCCAATTAATTTTATATTTTTTGCTCAAAAGCAATTTTTTTGCTTCTTGTTATTTTTTATATTTCTTTTTTAAAGTCCCAAAAAATAATTAATATTTAATTGCATAATTTGGCCACATGATGCTAGCAATGAATGTTTTGAGTTTCAATGAAGTCATGTTTAGAAAATTTATCAATTAGTTTAATTAAAAAAATTAATTCAGTGTATGAAATTTTCGCCAACATAAGATTTTGATAAAATAAGATGTACACAATCTTACATTCCACAAATATAATCGTTATTTTTGCGACTAGAACTTTTATTGCCGAAATTAAAATAAAATAACCTTACTACTAACTAAAAATTTGAACATGAAGACAAAATTAGTACAGAAACACAAGAATAAAATATAACTATTGAATATTTGGTGAAAGATTCCAATCTCTATTAATTTGAATGAAAATTTCGTTCTTCATGTATTCGGCGTAGGTTTAAGTAAACTACAATACCTTATTTTTCGCCCGTCATTACTCAAAATTTGAGTAAGAATTGGAGATACTTAAAACAAGGTGGATGATCCCATTTCGTGTTTAGCTTAATTCCAAAGGCACTTGTGATCCAAAATTTCAACTTTCTATTTCATTCCACGACAGTTTACACAGAAAATAAAGTAGAGCACAGAACACTCCCTATAGAACAAAGGGGAATCAAAATTATTTAGTTACACAACAGAAATCATACTATGCAAGAAGGAATAGAACACAAAAACACTCCCTAGAACAGGGGGAATCAAAATGAGGTCAAAACCCGAGCTGAGAAGTCATCAGCTTCGACGTATAATCCCTCCACCAGATTATGAACACCACCCATGGCAGCTAATTGTTGTTTCAAACGCCCATCTACAATTCTGCTCAATGCATCTGTCTGTATTAACTCATTATACTTACAAGCTAACAAAAACTATTGTGCTTGTAGATCTGTTCAGGGAGAAATTTGATGTGTATTGTTCCCTTCATTCATGTTTAAGGAGAAGATATCTACAGGGGCGCTAATGCAGTCATCGTCGCCATGATTATTGAATCTACGATTTGGTGAGCCTTGTTTACCATCCAGGTATATTACAATCACAGTAATATCATCATGAAAATGGCGCCTTGCCCCTTTTTCGATTCTTTTGATGGCTTCATATCTCATTTCTTTTTTTCTTGCAGCCTCCTGAAGGGCGGCTCTTACCAATCGCTTTGCTATTCCCTGGAAAATATGGAAGGAATATTTTTAAATAGGGTGTAGGGTTATGCTATAGCTTTGGTATCATCATGAGTTTAACCAATCTTCAAGCAAACAATTACAGTAACGAAGCTATTGCAGGATGTCTAGAGGAAGAAAAGAAGGGGTAAGGCCTTACTACTCTGGGATTTTTCAAGACAATTTCCACGGCTGCTTCATCAGAGATTTGCTCCCAGAGGCCATCTGTAGCAAATATTAGGAACAAGTCTTGCGGACTTAACTCTCGAATTAAAATTGAGGGCTCTGCTGACATTACAGCTCTTTTTAATGGAATAGGGGATGCAAACTGCCGGAAAAGAGGATCTCTGTTAAACTCCGGTTTCTTCAGGTAAGCATCTCCAATTGATCTGGAAACCTGAGAAGGAAATTCTGTTAAAAAATATTTGCATCACATCACAAAAATTTTCTACAAATCAACAGCTTTACCCTGGCATTCAGATAATGTTATCCTGAATATCAAATCCATGTGAAGTTCAGCAATGAGGGAGACTACGGAAATGGTGTTATCATAAGACAACCGATACCTCATAAACAATGGATAGATGAACAGTTATTAATTGTGTCAAAATATAATATATTATTAGGTACATCGCATGAGCCCTGTGAACGAATCATAAAAAAGTATGAGGCTTTCCGTATGCAAGGTAATGCTATATACATCTAACTTCCCCGCAGTGGGGAAAACTTCGTGCACTGGACCACGTTTTTTATGGTGAGAATTTGAATGGATAAAACATATCTTCTACCCGATGTTCAAGAATAAATTAAACTTGTAAGATAATGTAAAATAAAACTGTGTGGCAAAATAAGCGAAAAAAAGGAGATCCACAATAGCATAGGCAACGGGGGAGGACTGAGTTTTACACTTGATTGTAATTGTCTAGAAAGCACATGAATTCACTATCATGTCACAAATTCATTCCTTAATTTAACATTTTATTTCAATAAAGATTTTATGGGGTTATAATCCAAAGGATTACCTATTCGTGGATATTAATACTCCATGACAAGGACACGATCTATTGCCAGTAATCTCAAACAAAAGACTGACACTTTGTTGTTTGAATTTATATTGTTTTTCTTTGTTTCTTCCCTTTAGTGTACTCAAAATTCTGAAGTCAGACTAAACAGCCCTTTTGTTGAACCCTAGTATCGAAAACTCGTTAAAAGAGAAACTAAATGGCAACCACTGCATTCCCACCATTTGTCATGTAGAGAGGGGAATGAACATAATGAAATCATTTACGAATGAAATTCAAATTATACATGCTGGCTTACAAATTATTCAAACGGGTCAAGCATTGGCAATGAATCATATACAGCCATTATACAAGAGATCATAGAAGTCCTCAAGCTTGAAAACAAGAGACACCCAATAATACCAAGACATCAATCATAGAATAGAGAGCATAGGCAATCGCAAAATAAATTAACGATCTTCATCACTGTATCTAATGAGTTTCTGAATTCTAATAGTTAAAACAAAACGCAAAAGCTAACTCATCATTCCTAGCAAAATCATGCATTCTTTAAAAGAAAACGCTCGTCATTGGAAAGTAGAACTCTGGTAAACCAGTACGAAGTCATAAACACTGGAAGACAGATATGCCACAGAAACTAAAATCTTCCCTTAAGGATATCCAGACATTACCACAAATGTATAGAGTGACCAAGAGACATTAAGAATTCCAACATCAAATTCTAATATGCAACATGACCGCATATAAATAAGATCAACAGTTCTGAGATAACGGAAGCAAAGAACGCAGAATACATTTCCCATTTTATTGCTGTCTACTTCCCAATCATATCCTTTATGACCACCTCAAACTGCCATTACAGCTCACCGGCCTATTGCAATTTCATTAATTTCAGAATTTGGACCAACCAAAACAATGAGAATTGTAAAAATCTAAGGCATGAAGAAATGATCAGCATAAATAACAAGTAATCAAAGATCTTGAACAACAGAACAAAAGGAATTACATAACAAAACCACGATTGATACCTGAATTATGCCCTTAATTCGCCAAACCCCGTGAGTATACACCACAATGTGTGCGTCATCTGGATGAAGAGCCTCAACCTCCTTCCTCACGTCATCAACCCCAACATTATGATCCGTAGATAACCGTTCTGCCACCACCTGTGACGAATTACGCATAGAACCATCAGATACTCTCCGGCCAAGCACTGCCCTCGAGTCCCCAAGATTCGCCACATACAAAACATCGTTTGAAATTGCCCCAACAAGACAACATGAACCAACTGAAGCAATTTGAGGCTGAGCCAACCACGAACGTTTCACCAAATGCAAAAATTCCTCTTCAATTGCATCAAATGCCTTCTTTATTACTTCAACGGATAAACCACCTCCTTCTGTAGCAAACTCTGTCGTACCAAAACAGATAAATTACTATAAGACATTAAGTTTCTAAACCAAGATGGAAAAAATAATTCAAAATCTTTTTTCTTCATAGTTTAGACTTCAAGGAAACGAAAATTTCCGCTCAAATAAGTCCAATTCAACACTTCAACCCATCTGATATTTCCCTTTAAATTTGATAAAGTATAATAAAATTTGAGAATTATAATTTTCCACTCGAATAAATACAAAAGGCCTAACACATTTTTACCTCCCTGTGCTTTCTCTCCTAGACAAATGTTTTTTTTTTTTCCCAACTTTTTCCCTCAAAATGAATTTATTCATTCAACCAGTGAAATGGACGTGTTCCAGTGACAGAATAACTGGTGGGAAAACAAAAATATGAAGAAGACCCTTTTCTTAACCATTCAGAAACGAAAACAGTTCAATTCAAGAAGCAAAGTTTTGTTCCTTTTTTGTTGTGAAAGGAAATTAAACAAGTAATATACACCCAAATATGCATATACCCCAGGTCATGGAGATTTATCCCATATGAATAGTTTAGTTCAGAATGACCTGTTTTCACCGGGGAAGGGATTAGTTGCAGCTGACTCAGATAAAATTGAAAAAAATATATATATACAGAGACATAAATATCTGCATATAAACAAAAATGTTTATTAGGGTATAGAGAGACAGGTACTGCGGAGGTAAGGAAAGAGGTGGTTGGTGATGAACCGAGAGGCTTCAGGTCCACCATGGCCGTCATAAACACCAAAGTAGGTGGCGGAGGGAGAGGTAAACACTTGACCCTGGTCTTCAAGTAAAGAATTGGCCTGAACCACTGCAATCGAATATTCACCGGAGGCATGTGGCTTCAAGTCCATGTGCCACAAAAGTCCATCCCCACCATTTCCACCGCCAAAACACGTCTCAAATGGCTTGTAACACCACTCCAACATCTCTCTCTGAAAATCTTTTCTTTCCTCAAATTTCTCTCTCACTCTGAGTTTGAGATGAAAGTAACTTTAGGGGATTGATTCTTCTGGTTGGTGTGTGAAAGAAAGTCCAATCTGGAAGAGTGAAGTAGACGTGGTGGAATTGTTGGTGAACGGTCAAGGGAAAATGGGGTTGGGAATAGAAATGGAAGAAGCCGTGGGCATTCCGCGTTGGTGGAAAAAGTGGGGGTGGTGGCTTTGTCCAGGTGTGAGGAAGAGGAAAGGAGGAATGGTGGGTTTTATTTAAAAGTGTTAATTGCACGGGATATCCCAAATTATAAAATTATTGCACGGGATATCCCAAATTATAAAATTTGTCTTATTTTAATTATATTATTTTAGTTGTTGAAATATTAAATATATTTCTATATAGTTTCTTATGCAGACAATATCTAAATTTTTAAAAAATTTTAATTATAAATTTGTCATGGGATATTTAAATATGAGTAAAAAATAATTTTTAATAATTTTTGACCAAAAATTTGAGTAGATCTTGACAAAAAATGTGTGATATAAATAATTTTTGACCAAAATTTAGATAGTTCATAATTAAAATTATATAATTTGAATAACTCTTTGACCAAAATTTGGTTAAAAGATATTCAAATTATTTTTTTGCTCATATTTAAGTATTACATGACAAGTTTATAATAAAAAATATTAGTATTCTAGACGCTGCCTATTTTAAGGACCACATATAAATATATTAAATATTTTAGCGACTAAAATGATAAAATTAAAATAAAAGAGATCAAATGTGATAAATGCTATACTTTGGGGATTTTTAATGCAATTAATCCTATTTAAAAACTTTAGAAGGGTCGTTCTGTAAATATTTAAAAACTGGGGGTAATGATGAAAGGAAAGAAGTGTGTGTGAGTAGAATGACATGGGTCAAAGTAAGCGGATCACTACGGCGTTGACGTGGACGGAGAATGGCGGTCTGCAGTCCTGCGTCAATAGTTACGAAGCACGGATACGGATACAAATACAAATACGAATATAAATATCAAATATAAAATATAGGTACATGAATATGGATATGAATATCGAATATAAAATATAGGTACGGATACTATAGAATATGAATGCGATACTACGATAAAATTTTAAAAAATAAGATACAAATATAGTCAGGATATAATTATAATAAAATATTTTTAATATTTTTATTATTTTTAACCAATTTAACACTTATATATTTTGATAATTTTTTAACATATAATAAAGAAAATTAGTAATTATTTTTAATTTTAAGAAAATATATATTATATCGTTGTAGTATATTCATAAAGTGAATGGACTAATTAAAGAAATCAAAACTAATATTTACCTAATATTTAGAAGTAATTTTTACTAAGATTATAATGTAATAGTTTTACTATATGGTCTTTTGACATATAATTATAGATAATATTTAAAAAGCACTCATGTGTCTTTTAAGTAATATGAAATTTTTGTTAATGTATTATATGGTATGTGAATTTAAAAAGAGATGTTAAAAGTTTAATTAAAAAATTATATATGTTGCTCTACTACAAAAGTATCCGTGAAATATCTTAATATTTAATTATTATCAGATACGTAGAAGGTATATTTAATACGTATCTTCGAGTATCCGAAGAGTATCTTATCTGATACGGATATGTCAACTTCAACGAAGTATCCATACCTCATAGGTCAACAATTACCCGTGAGAATCTCAAATTATTTATCAAATTATATAACTTTTTAATCAATAAAACTATTTTTTCGTATGCTTTGAAATTTATCTATCAAATTAGTATAATTTAAAAAAAAACGAGTTAATAAAATAAGACTTTGCTTAAAAGCATATTTTTCATCACGTAAAACTAATCATTTTAATTTTTTTGTAATTACGCAAACAAATGACCCTGTGAGTTTCTTACAGAAGACCCTGGTGATTTTATAATTAATTAGTGGTCGAACTTGTTGATAAATATTCGCAACTGTTGATGCTTTAAATATTTTCTCATCCTCTAAAATTTAATATAATTGTGATATCATTTCTTTATAAATACGCAAATATCAATAATGAATAATAAAATATTAAGTTAATAAAATAAAATATATTATTTTAATAATTACGAATAACTATCACATCGAATAATTGTCGCATTTTAATAGTTGGCTTCACTTTATTGATTTGTTGGGTTATTATCGATGAATGATACCACGTGTCAATAACAAGACCGATCTAATGTTTTGGCCACTAAAATGGATTAATGGGCATTTGAGTTAATGATACTTTTTACCTTTTAAAGACTTTGTCTTATTGAACTCAAGGGTTCAAGTCTCCTTTCCTCTCTTTCTCCCCAAAAAAAAAAAGAAAAAAAAAACTAAAATGGTCCCAAATTTGTAGGATCAAAAGAATAAATTTTAGGTTTATATTCAATTAAGCATAATTTTATTTATATGATTCCAAATAAAATTTTGAGAAGTAGACTCAGTTATGTATAGTTTTATTCTTAAGGCCCTAAATAAAACTTTTAGATCTATGCTTAATTAAGTTCAATTATATTTTTAGGACTTCAAATAAATTTTGAATAATCAAGAATTCCTAAAAATTTGATAAAAAGGTTTTAAAATCTTGCCCAATCTAATTTTTAGGACTCCTAGACTACTAGGAGACTCATTTCTTTCATAATATTACTATTCAGGTTTTGGAACCCAAAACTTGCCTAATAAAATCGTATAATATTTTCTTTAAGATATTGTTCATAACTATTTTGGGCAATTTAAAGATATTTTACTTATTAATTCGTTAGTAATTTGTTGATCTTTTAATAGATAAGATTTATTTATATTTGAATTGTTTTTGTTGATAAATTCGCCATATTCCTTTGAATTTTCATTTTTTAGATAGTGAAAACTGAAAACCTCTCATATAATACTATTTATGGATTAAAAACTTATTTAAGTTATAAGTGATTATATACATTCTAAATTTACATTATAATTATAAGCATAAAATGCAAATAATTTTTGTTGAAATATAAATACTTAAGTTACACTATCTCCAATAGTTTAAATTTTTGGAATAGATGATTGTTTTAATATGGTATCAAAACAGAAAGTCCGGTATTCGAATCTCGCCGTCACCCTAAATTATTAAAAAAAATTTCACAACACGTGAATAGGTTTATTGAAGTACAAATACTTAAGTTACACCCTCTCTAATAATTTAAAATTTTAAAGTACATAATTGTTTAATAATTTTAACGTAAAAAAAAAAAAAAAAAAAAACCACAAGAGTCGACCAATGGAATGCCTGGTGACATTTTGGCTTTGATTAAAAGAAACAAAATTTTGGTTTGGACCAAAACAAGTTTTTTCTATGGTCCTTGGAGAGCTCACGCATCTACTTAAAATAGTAATGTATATGTGTAATGTATATGCATCTACTTGTGTTGTATTATTCATGTAATTAAGATTAATGTAATGAAGCAGAATCAGAAAAACAATCAATATACTAAAAAAAAAGCACCAAAATATTTAATAATGTGGTCAAACGGTAATTAAATCGAATAGAAAGATTTTATTACAAATCACAATATACTCAATTTCTTAGTAAAGAATCTTTTTATGTATGATGGGTCAAGTCACAAATCACAATCTGTGATCCACTATTGAAACAATTAAAAAAATTATAATAGAAGATATCCTAATGACCAACCCACGCCCCCTCTTTTTTTTTTTTAGTTTAACGGTTATGGGTATTCGGACTAATTTATGTGTACCTCAATTAATCTCTTTCTCTGTCTGTCAAATCCGCGTTGGAATTAAGGTCCTCATGGCCTAGCCCTAAAAAACTATTAAAATTCGAATTTATGAGAGATAAATATCTTTCTTTCCACACACACACAACTAAAAAGAAGAGAAAAAGAAAACGAGGCACACAACCAAAAAGAGGATAAAAATAAAACGATATTCAATTTTGTTCTTGAGATATCACAATGTCTCATATACTAGATCTGTTGAATGTTAGGGGTCTTGGCAAATATGTTAAAAAAAGACCATTGATTTCAAAGTGGAGAGCGACATTCTACTATTAGTTTCTTTTTTTTGCTTCATAATTTACTAGTTTTTTCCAAAGGTTGAGACAAAGGAATTCAAATCAGTGTGTAATCAGTAAGGAAATATGGCATTAATTTGATTATTTTAGAGTCTATGGTGTGGATGTTTTTTTGACCTTTTTGACTACAAAGTTTGGACTGGAATCCCCGTAGGTGAGGACCAGATTCAGTCGCATTCGGAAGGATTATTTTCTGCTAAAGAAAGACAACCAACTTGACCCTCTTATGTGAAAGGCAGAGTTCCTTCAACCTAATAGGGGACACATCAATTGTATTGATTAGAGTGGTTCACAGCTTGGAGGATTTATCTTCTTAGGTGATTATCACTTAAATAGTATTTCATTAGATTCGGGAGTTCATCCAATAGATCAACTTATTATGTGATAGTATTTCATGAGCTTTAGGAGTTCATCTAGTAGATAAGGTTATGTCTTACTAATTTCTTACCTTGTAATCAACTGATCGGTAATTCAAAGGGTTAATATCGTTTTTAGTCCTTAAAATATGTATTTTTTATTAGTTTATTTCTCATTGTATCAATTTGGTTCATAAAATGTTTAATTCGTGTTATCTGGTCTCTATATAGACGGACTGTCAAGTTTTTTGACAGAAGTGACCAAGTGTTACTTATTTAGACTGTATCACGTGCACAACACGTGATCATTTCTTTAAAAAATCTGACGGTCCGTCTATATAAAGATTAAAATAATACGAATTGAATACTTTAGGAATCAAATTAATATAATGAGAACTAAATTGATAACAAAATACATATTTTAAGCACCAAAAATACTATAAGCCCTAATATAAATAATATATGAGATGGACTCTCACTACGCCTGAGAGATTCATCTGTTAACTGCAAGCTTATTATTTACTTCAAAAACTTACACTGTCAAAGATAGATCAAATTTAGCCTGCGGTGCCTCTGGTTTGTCATCCTGGTATCAGAGCCATGCTCAACTAACATTGACTTTTTCTTTTTGTTTTAGTTCATTGCAATGGATTTTTTTTTTTTTTTTGCAAGTAGACTCTACCCATAGCTATGTCGTTATCCTCTATCCTTCAATTTCCTCTCTTGTCACTGTAAAATTAGAA